ACCACGTGGAGTTCGTTTCTCGATCGTGCCGGTACCTTTTCTAGTCCAAAGCAGACAACCTAACATGAGACATAACTACTAACGTATGGCGTTCAAAATACAGAGATTGACTCTGACCGAACGTCAGTTGCTCGAGATTAATACGCCCGACATTAGGGAGGCGACGGTAGCGAAACGTCATTTATAAAACTATTTGGCGTACTTTTAAAATTTGTGGGGGTTATCTTAATTGGCTAAGTTGGTTAATTTAGGTAGCACTGACATCAAAGTGTAAATAGAGAAAAATAAATTTGTTTTCGGGTACTTATGTCCGGCTATATAACGTAGTGACGGCGAATAAATTTACAAAACCGTGTGATGCACGTGCAGAGTTATGGTTTTGTTTATTGAACCTATATCAAGAAAACATGCGAATGAGGCCCCGTTTATATATAGAAAACGTTTCCCGGGGTCACCCTCCCAGCCTGAGTCAACTTAAGCAAGCGTTTATATGAGAATCAGTTGACCCTTTTGCCCGAGCTGAAAACAGCGCTCTCGCATCCTCTGGCTCGCGTTAACCGAGTTGAGCCGGCTGGGCAAGCCAAGTGTTTACTTGGAGAAAAGTTGACTTAGCTAGGAAGGTGACCTTACCATCGAAAAAGCTAAGGGCTCTATCCGAGCCCACTATTTGTTTCTAGTGTGATTAAACGCCAAGTTTCGGTAAGGAAATGTAGGAAATGTTGGCTCGCCCAGGATAGCTCGGGTGGGCGAGTGACTCTTCAACCTGGGGCGACTTTTCTTCATATAACGGGCGACCTTGCAGCTCTTGGAAGACCTCAGGGTATTGGTTGGGAAAACAATGAACAAACAAAGTTTGGAACCTAAGCCAAAAACAAAAGAACTGCGACCCATAGGGGTCTATTCTGAACTGCTGCAAGGCTACTGGGGCCACGGGGCCTAATTGGCTATTTAGGCGATGACTTGTTTTTGCTACTAAAGGAATTCATTTCATTTTTTCTTTCATAATTAAATTTGGTAATCCCACTGAGGTTTAAATAACGAAAGCCCTAACTTGCGCAAGAAAGCAAAATCCTGAAGGAATCTAATAAAGTAAAATGACGCCATCGTGCAAACGGCCTTTTTTTAGAATCCTTCAGAATTTGGCTTTCTCATGCAAATTAAGGCTTCTGAATTTACCGAATTTAAATATGAAAGAAATTAAGAAAACGAAATGAATTTGGACATATTTGTAGATTGACAATCGTGAAAAGCCCCGTCCGCACAAAATCCGGATGTTTTTAAAAGCGCATTTACATATATTTTTCACATGAATCGGCCTTCCGTCTGGTATTCCGTCCACACATGAAACCAGTGAATCCTCTCACCGAAACATTAGGATGATTTTTCATTTTTTTGTTAGTTGACGACGGGAGGGCGCGCGGAAAGGACTGAACGCGATTTCCGGTGCTCAATTTGCTGCTCTCCCATTGGTCAAGCCAGTTGTTTGATTTGCGCGTGTCGTCGTCAACTGACGTTCCCGTTCTATTGCT